TTGTGAAATATCCAGGGCACCGCCGCCAAGCCAGCGCGCTGCTCGCGGCTAACACCACCGCCATCGCGGCCGCGCTGCGAAAATGTAGCGTCTGTCGTTGGTGTGAATGATGGTTCACTTAGGGGCCGGGCGGCCGGGCCAGGCAGGCAGGCAGGCAGTGCCAGGCCTCGCCCTGCTCGCCCTGCTCGCGGCCAACACCCTTCCCGCCCTTTCAGTGCCCCGCCGCCTCGCCTCGCCGCCCGGCGCCCCAAAGTGGCAAATATTTTGTGTTTAGGCGCGCGGGATATTGAGCCGCAGGCCGGCCGCCTCGCTGCCAGCACGGCCAGGCCCGGCCAGCCAGCAGGCCTCCGGGGCCACGACGCCGCTCGCGCCGCGCCGCGCAGTGCCCCAGCCAACGCGGAGCGAACCGGATGCTGCGTGCGAAGCGGCGCGAACCCATTATCAAACCTTTTCTTTTCACCCCTTTTTTTGCCTCTTTTTGTTGCGCTTGTCTCCCGCTCCCTCGGCCGGGCACGGCGCCCGGCGCGCCAATCAGTTGGGCACAACAAGGGACGGCGCACGGCCCACGGCCAAGCCCGGCCGGCCGGCGCCTATCTGATGACCCGCCCCGCCACGCCGGTGTGCGCAGCCACAACACGGCGCGGCGCTGTTTGAAGGGTGGCGGCCCTGATGGCGTCAAAGACACCGGTGGGACCGCCGTCATTGGTGTGTGTGTGTGTGTGGAGAGAGAGAGAGAGAGAGAGAGAGAGAGAGAGAGAGAGAGAGAGAGAGAGAGAGAGAGAGAGAGAGGGAAAAAAGGCCAGAGTGGAGGAATCCCCTCCGGATTACGGGAAACAGCGTTGGGACATGCAGAGCGGATGAAAAGCAATCGCGCGGCGCGAAGAATGATTGGGCGTTCGGAGCGACACGCCGCGGTCTAGTCGGGGCCGTGTCATCGTTGTAAATAATTTCGCGCGGCCGTCACACCGACACACGCGGGGGCACCCCCCCCCCCTTTTTTGCCCCACACCGTGGACCGCAAACCGTGGGGCATGCGCCAGGCCATGCCGCGGGGCCGCGGGGCCGCGCGTACGGCAACATTGGAATCTAAGTCATGCCGGAATGTGTGGCGGTGCGGTGGCGGTGCGGGGCCGGCCCGCCCGCACACATACAGTTGGCCGCAATTCGTTGCCAGCGGATCGCCCTTGCGCGCCCATTCGGCTGAATAAAGTTTTGGAAGAACGTTTATGGACGGCACTCGGACCGCTTCCGCTCCCCCACCCCCTTTTTTCGCATAGCGCTGCCGGAGCCCCCCGCGGGGCCGTGCGGCTGCGGCCCGGGCAGCACTAGCTCGCCTGCCTGCATCGCCGTGCTCCCCGGTGCTCCCCGGCCGCCTGACTCCGAGAGTCATCTTCGTCGCTCTGTCTCTCTCGCACTCATGGGGCGTCCCGTGTGTGTGCGAGAGAGACAGAGCGACGATGACGACTCTCGGAATCAGTCTGCGGTGCCGTCGGCCTCCTTCCGGCGTCCCGGCGGCGTCCCGGCGGCCATTCTGTGCCGCGGCTGCGGGGGGGGGGGGGGGGGGGGCCTCCGGCAGGCCAAAGGTCCCCGTCGTCGCTTCCGGTTCCACTCGCGCCGCGGTGCAGCGGGGACGACGCAGCGCCGCGACCCCAAACGGGGCCATTTCCTGCCGCCGCCGCGGACTCCCCGCGGACCTGTCTCTCTCGCACTCATGGGGCGTCCCGCGTAGGTGTGAGAGAGACAGCGCGACGGGAACGACGACTCTCGGAATCAGTCTGCTGCGTATTCGTGTAGTCCGGCCCGTCGTCGCGCAGGTGCGCACGGCTAATGAGGACGATAAGTGGAAGGGGTAGGGGGTGGGGGGAGATCTCCGTTCACAGGTGAAGTCTCCGCGCACGGAGGAAGCAGGGGGAACCAATGGCAATGGCGTCAAGGGGGAGAGGAGATTTTCGTCAAGACTCTTTGTCCGCCGGCCCTTTAGCTTGCTTGTCTGTCTGTCCGTCGGCCTGCCCGTCCTGTCGCCTGTCCGTCCGTCGCGGTCGGTCGGTCCGCCCGTCTTCCCGGCACGAGGGGTGAGAACTCTGGCCCTGCGTGCAGCTGCGCCGCTGCAGCACAAAAGGGATGTGATGTGCGATACAAGCGCGCTGCCTCGCGCTGCTTGCCACGCCACGGCGGGGCGGCGAGGCGGGGCGCCGAGCCCTCGCTCCTCCTCCCGGCCACTTACCCCGTCCCCGTCTTCGACGCCGCTAGACGCCGCGCCCCTCCGATATGTGAATGCGAACGAGGGGTGCTTTAAAAACGCGCCGCCGTAACAGAGCGGAACGGGAACGCGGTTTCTACATCTCGCCGGCACAGCGCTGTCGGAGGAGGGAGCGAGGCTGCGTGGGTGGAGCGCCGAGCGTCAAGCGCCGAGCGTCAAGCGCCCGCCGAGCGCGGGGTAGGCAACACGCTCCACGCCTCGCCGTGGCGGCGTGCCTTCGGGCGCCTGCCTCGACTCGGCGTAGCGGCGCACAGTGGGCCAGAAGGCCGGTGGATGCGGCCAAAACTCTAGACGCGTTTCGAGCTCCAGAGTCGCTAAACAGGACTTGAATCGAACGTGTGACCCCACCAATCGATAGCTTTCGGAACGAGCAATCCATTAGTGGGGTCACACGTCCGGTACGAGTCTTGACGAGTGACTCGGGAGCTCAAAATGCGTCTGGAGTTTTGGCCGCCTCCACCGGTCTTCTGACCCACTGTGCAGCGCGGGGAGGCGGAACTTGCACTCTTAGCACCTCGACTAAACAAACTGGCGCGCGAAAACAAAACGCAAAGCCTTTGACTCCCGCACACTCTCCCCACAGGAGGAGAAAAAACGGGCACGCCATCGACGCGATGCGCGGATGAGACGGATGCGCTCGAGATTAGAAAGCGTCTGCTGGCGTGTTGTTTGGCGGCAACTTGGAAAAGTGAAACGTGAGGCGAATAATAATGGCAAAAGTAATACGACGCGTATTGGGCGGGGGAGTGGGGAGATTGGGGTCGGTCGCTGTATGCTGTGCAGGGGCGGCGGCGGCGGCGTGGCGGTGCAGGCGGTGGGACAAACTGGAGGTAAAAGCTGAGGTGGCAGACAACGAAGCAGAAATCAGGAGGGACTAGCAACGTGCGCTATCGCGGCGGGGCGGGGCGGCCGGGCGGCCCGGCCACGGCGGCCACGGCCCCACCGAGCCTCGCCTTGTTGGGCTGCACGGGACGACCAATTCTTTTTTATTCACTTCCCCGCCCCTCTTTCCCCTCTCCCCCTCTATGCGACGCCACCTTTCCCCCGCTCTTTTATTTTCACTCTTAGCTTTTCGGGTAAGGGGAATAAACGCAGCGGCAGGTGCTCAGTCTTATATTCTTCCGGAATTTTCGTGCTCATGAGAAATTACTGCGGCACCATTAATTCATAAGGGGAATGAAAGGGGAATAGGAAACAGAGACCTTCCTTTTCCCCGTTTGCTGGAGTTTAGGGAGAGCAGGCGCAAGAGTTTTGACTGACAAGAGACAAGGACTTGACGACAATACACAGACTGACGATTTCAGCGGCAAAGTAGGGAGGAAGAACATCAGTGCCAACATAAAAGACAAAACATGGTGTAAATAAATCATATAATTTCAACACCATTTTACGTTGTTCGTGACCAGCACGGCGCTTTGCTGCAGAAAGGAGAGAGGGACAATGATGGGGTGAGGATGATAGTGCAGGTGCATGACCAGAGCAGCGCAGCGGGTTGTTTCCCTCTCACTCGGTTCGAGTCGGGCTGGCAAGCAGCGCGGCGGCAGCAGCAAGGCAGCAGCAAGGCAGCAGCAAGGCAGCAGCAAGGCAGCAGCAAGGCAGCAGCAAGGCAGCAGCAAGGCAGCAGCAAGGCAGCAGCAAGGCAGCAGCAAGGCAGCAGCAAGGCAGCAGCAAGGCAGCAAAGCGGGAAAAAGCCCCGCGAATCGGCCGAGACTCACGCCACTTCGCCAAGGTATAAGTCCCTCTTGCCGTCGCCCGCGCCCCTCACCGTCGATCGTCTATCCGCGCGCCGCCCCCACCGCCCCCGCGCCGCCCCCGCGCCGCCCCCACCGCCGAGGAGCATCCATCCACGCTCGCACTGTTTCATCTTTCTGAGGGGCCGCTGTCTCTGGCTCTCTCTGGCTCTCCCAAGCCTGACTCGGCATTGGCGGCTCCGAAGGCTACCGCTCACAATCTCAAAGCGGCGCGGCCAATTCTGGGGATCCGATTCATCGCCTGCCTGCCTGCCTGCCTGCCCGCCCGCCTGCCTGTGACAGGGTGGCCCCACCTGCATGCAGCCCGACAACATCCCTCCTCTTTCTACCCGAACCCTTTCCCCGGTCATGGCTGTTGTCTGTCCCGCTGTTCGAACCCGCCCGGAGCCACTCCGGGCTCCCCGCCCCACCCCGCCTTGCGACATAGTGGGCGACATGAAATCGAAAAAGTTGCAGCAATGTCCTTTGGAGTTGGGTTGGGTTGGGTTAGGCCCCAGCTGGCGGGCGGGGCCGGGAGGACGAGAGGCAAGGTTTCCGTGGCACCAGGATGAGGGTCCTGTCCTTGATGACGGAGGGGCCGTCGTAGATCCTGGAGGCCTTGAGGCGTGCCGCCACCGCCGCGAGGGCGCGACTGAGGGCGCGACACAGCAGCCAGCAGCAAGCCTTGATTTCTACTTCTGCGTCAGTGAAGATTTAGGTGAGGTTAAAAATTGTTGGCACGTGATTAAACTATGTTAGATTTTGGGACGAAGATAAAAATACTGGTATGCACCACTCAAAGTTCATTTTATTATTGAAGCCCGCAGAGGAAGCGGCTAGGTCGAGTTACATAAGCTCTCACTGAAAGGACTCGCCCCTGACGACAACTCGAGAAACGACGTGGCTGGGATGTCCTCGGCGCCCTCCTCCTCCGCACTGCCGTCGCTCTGGGCCTCGGCGTCGTCCAGGCCGGCGGGAAGGTCGATCTGCGCGTGAACGGCGTGGCGCACCGCGGCCAGGAAGGGCCCCGCGCTGCACGCCACCGTCCTGGGGCACTGCACGGCCGCGTCGCGGAGCGGGAACGTCTGCGCCACCGACTCGCGGCGGTAGGCGCTCTCCTCGGTCTGCGTGGAGGCGGCTGGCATCGGCCGGGGCAGGCCGCGCGCCCGGCGGGCGCAGGGCGGCGCGTCCGTCTGCACCGCGGCGTTGTTGGTGAGCACGGGGATGCCCGCCGCGTGCGAGCGCGCCGAGGACGGCGTCGCCGCCCTGGCCCTGCGTGAAGGGAACGGCTTACGGATACGGAACGGCGCGTGACAAGTCGGCCCTTCCAAGCCGCGCACTCCACGTACCACGCGGTGTCGTTCGGCGGGGCGGCGGGCTGCAGCGCGGCGCTCAGCTCCAGCAGGCCCACCAGTGCAGGCCGACGCCGGACCTCGGCCAGGGCACGCTGCGTCCACCTGCACACAGCACTCGTGAGCACACTGCTGGACGCACACCGTGCCTTGGCTACCTCACAGGCGCGCACTCACGAGTTGGGGTCGGTGCAGAACAGGTCCGCGGCGTCCAACGAGGACAGCGCGTACAGCCGCGTGCCCACGCCCCCCGCGGCCTCGCACAGCCCCAGCGCGGGGCAGCCTGGCACCAGACCCCCGCCCGACACGGCCAGGAACCACGGGCAAAACCCCTGCAGCTAAAAAATTATTAAAATATGATTACTAGCAAATGATACCAGTGACACACTATAAGGTGTCAGCTAGCTTTTACTCCCGATTCCAGGAGCCTAGCGAAACCTAGCCCCACAGACTGTTTTTGACGTCCCGAGAAGTACTTTTGATGAGGTTACTTTCGCCTTACTTCGGCAGCCACGTCGCCGCGGCCCATGTCCCTGGCGAGCCGTCGCCGCGCCGCCTCCAGCTGCTTGTCGGAGTGAGACGGCGGGGGCGGCAGCGCCGAGGACACGCGCTCGCCGTCCGTCGGGGGAGGGCCAACAGCGTCTCCCTCCAGGATGCCGTCGATGACGGCGGCCTCGACCGTCCGCACGCCCTGCATTACCAGGCGTGGGTAAGCAATAGTTTTTAACCATTAATTTTCACTTTCAACGGTGTGCTCACCCGTGTGTACGCCTGGAGACGCCGGTGGAGGTTGGCGGCCTTGCTGACGACCACGGCCTGGGCCTCCAGGGCCTCCCACGTGGACGCCAGCGACACGAACTGCGGCTGCAGCGGCAAAGGTGCTGTTGGTTCGTCATCCGAACGGCACACGGCACACTGCATTCAAGGGTTACTCACGTAGACCTCGTTGGTGGGCACGGCCGTCTTGGCCTGCACCACGGTGTGCACGCCAGACAGCCCCGCCTGCAGCGCCCCCGTCAGGCGCCGCACCTCCGCGCCTACCTGCTCCACGTCTTCAAGTAACCGCCTGGAAAGGACAGTCCCGGATGGGTGCGAATCCAAGGCGCGATGCGTCGTGTCGACGTCTCACCTGAATAGCACCTGTTGCTGGCGGAGGTACACGACGGTGTCCTTGAGGAGGTCCACGTCGGACTCGGGCCAGTTGGCCTCCCCTTTGCCCTGGTATAGGACCTCCAAGGCCCTGGTCGCCGGCCACAGCTGGGCCTCCACGGCGTCCACCGCGCTCCGCAGCTGCTCGAGCGTCACGGCCGCGGCCTCCTGGACCAAGCCAGGCACTGGGAACGAGGGAAAGATGGTGAGCGTTTGGCCGCTCGACTTGCAGTGCAGGCGGCACGGCACGGTCCTCGACGTACGGTCCAGCAGCCCGTGGCCCGCCTTGCGGCAGTCCCAGTTGAAGATGCGGATGCCGGCCGAGATGCGGCACACCTCGAGCAGCTGGGCGCGCCGCGCCTCGGGGGCCAGGCGCAGCAGGTGCGGCAGGTCCTTGGCCGGGTACACGCTCTGCATGGCGGCGCTGGCCTCCTTCATGACGGCGGGGTCGGCCGGGCTGCCGAGGCCGGAGCGGAGCACGGCGGCGGCCACCACGCTGCCGTACAGGCGCTGCTTGTAGTCCTCGCGGTCCGCCTTGCGGGCGCCCCGCGGCGGCGCCAGGAACGGCGGGGCCAGGTCGTCCGCGCCGCCCGTCGGGGCGCCCTCCCCCGCGACGCTCAGCACCTCGGCCAGGATGGGCGCCATGCGGGACTCGGTGTTGCGCGCCTGCTCCGCGGCGGTCGCCCCTGCGGAAGGGAAAGTGTTACTGCCGGCCACCGCGACGCCACAGCCCACAGCGGCCACGGCACCTTCACCGGCGGCTCACCCGGCGTCCGGTACTTCCGGCGGAAGGCGATCCTCATCCTCGTGGCGGCCAGGCCGGGCGCCGTCTTGTCCATCAGGAAGCGCACGCACGACGCGCGCAGCTCGGCCTGTCCGGCGGCCGTCTCCGGGTTGGCCAGCAGCAGCCGCACCTGCGGACCAAACCACGGTTATCGTCGTGCTTCGCGTCTGGCGAGCGATTCCGCTGCCCGCCCTCCTCGCTCTGTCTCTCTCGCACCCCCACGGCACACTCCATGAGAGTGAGAGAGACGTCGGAGGAATCGCTCCACTGGTTTGGTTGTTGGTCCGCACCGCCTCGGCGGCGAGCTGCGGCGCGACGACGAGGCCCTGCGCCGCGCAGTCCTTGAGCACGTGCATGACGACGTCCAGGTGCGGCGTGGGCGTGGCGGCGCCGCAGGCCCTCCTCGGCGACGGCCGCGACCGCGCGCCAGGCCGGGCCCCCGCGACCCGCGCCTCCATCGCTGCACTTTGTACTGCCGGGGCGCGACGCCTAGCCACGTGGCCGCGGGCGAGGCGCCGAAGCAGCGAAGCGGCGTCGCTCGCCGTAGGGCCGGCCTATTGACCAAGCGGTTGCCCCGGGCAACCGGGGATCGCAGCGACAGCGAGCGACAGGCAGGCAGGGGAATTCCCTGCGGCAGCGGTGCGCGCCAGCAGCGGCAGCCAGACTGAGAGGTGCGGGTTCAAAACCTCGCCGCGCCGGCACAGCTTTTTCCCTTTCCCTCGTTGCTGCGTGCGGACGTGACTGCGGCCGAGCGAAAGCGATTACTCGGGTGCGCGCGAATTAAAGGGATCTGCTGTGGCGAGTGGCGAGTGGGTCTGTGAGTGGCTGAGTGGTCACGTACACGAGACGAACACCTTGTTGCCCTTATCTCCCCCACCTGAGCCTCAAGTCTCATCGAGTTGAGCTGTCCTCGCGCTGTCACTCAGTAAAGACTAGCACGGGCAAGGTGGCACTTTTTCTCGCGAAAACGCGCTAAAAAGAGAGACGATTACTGCGGGGCCCGGCTGAACCTGGCCCGAGTTATGGCAAGGACGGAGCTCCATCTAAAAACGCGATGGAAACAACTAACTCAGTTTCATCTGCTCGCCATTTCCTCAGTGCGGCACTTGGGGCAGCCATAGCGCAGTGCAGCACCACCTGTTGCCCGCTGCTACTTGTTTTTCAAAGCACTCCTTTCGCACGCTCTTGCTCAATCGCCGTGCTCGTGAGTGTGCCATTGTCGCTTTGGGGGTGACTTAGATTGCGCGCTGATTGGAGGGGGGGGCACTAAGGGCACTGGCCATTGACTGCGCTCGCGGCGGCGCGGCGCGGCGCGGCACGGCTCACTTCGCTGTCCGCCGAGCTGCCAGCAACATGGTGGGTACCGGGGCCTCGAACAGGCACAGCCACTTCAGTCCGAAGCCGAACTCAATAACGCCAAAACCATGGAGGGGTGTGGCGCCACCCGCATAATGCAGCAGTGCCGGTTTCACCGGGTGTTGAATTTGAATGTGTGTCGGTGACTCCTAGCTGGGCGGCGGTGTGATTTTCGTCTTTAGTGTTTGTTTCCTTTCGGGCGGCAGCTGGTCTTTGCTTCCTTGCTATCAGCAGGGCGCGAGCAGCAGCTTGCCGCCGCGGCCGAGCTCGAAAGCGGTCACGCCGCTGCAGTCGACAAAAGTGACTGCTGTCAGCATGCTGTCGGCGCACGGTCCGGCGTCATTTCCAATGTCGCACGGTCCGTCCCGACGTCCTCGCCGTCCTTGAGGCCCTGCCGCACTCGCCACTGTGCTCTGTGCCCGCGTTGGGGCGCTTGCAGTGCCGTGCCGCGTGCCGCCCACAGTCGACGCTTCCCGTCACTTCCGCGCGGAGAGTGTCTCTTCTCCGAATCATTTGAACCGACAGTCACCAACCCAGCGGGATGGTGTGTTCACGGCGCCTATGACCGTTTTACACTTTTTTTCAAATTTATGATTTCTTTAACTTTTTTTTTTCCAGGAGGGCGTCTGTGTCACGTTCCTGGCGGTGGCCATCCTGGCGGTGACCACCTTGCCGGTCGCGAGGTCGGCGACGGTGCGCGCGGACGCCTCCGACTACGTCGTGAGTATCGTGCGGTGCGGAGTTCTCGTCTTGCGGCGACGCGCTGACGTCACTTTGGTCCTCCTGGGCATTGCCTGCAGGCTCTGGACGGGTGCGGCGCATCGCCGGACCGCCTGTGCCTCGCCTACCCCGACAACTGCATCGCCAGCCACACGTGCACGCTCATGGCGACGGTGCGCCCGGACCCCGCCGCCGCCGCCAACAAGTACCTCTTCGAGATGGCCGCCCAGTACAGCGGCTACGTCGCCGTGGCGCTGTCCGAGTCGGACCTCATGGTGAGCGCGCGCCGAACGGTGTAGTGGCTTCAGGTGTCGATGACCCACGATTGCAGCCTGTGGCTTCAACCCGTGCTTCCTGGCCTCGCAGGGTGTCGACAGCGTCGTGGAGTGCATCCAGGACCCCGCCGACCACACTGTCAAGCTGTACCAGTCGCTGAACAAGGCCTTGAACACCACGACCGGCAAGAGGGGAAACAAGCGTCTTCCGGCTGAGGTAAGCGAGCCGGGGTCGAGGCTGCCACCAGCCACCCACCCTCTGGCCCTTACTCTGGCCGGTCGAAAGGAGCCAGGCCCCTCCTTGTTTTCGAAATAGATCCGATAAGCGCCTCACCACACTTGCGTTGTTGCGGTAGGGGTGGGCATGGCGCCGTGCGGGTGGGCCGGCCCGTCACACACTAGTGCCTTGCGGGACTGCCTACCCTCCACTTCACAGGCGCTGGACCGCCCCTTCATGAACTCATTCCTTGAGCAGGAGCAGACCGGCGTGACCCTGGCGGCGGGGAAGGTCCAGAACGGCGTCATCCGCTGCAGCTTCAGCCGCGACACGGTGACCACCGTCCGCGGCAAGAAGTACGACCTGGCGAAGGAGACCTGGTACCTGCAGGCGGCGGCGGGGAACAGACTCAACGGTAAGCCGCCAAGCCTTCCTCTGCTCTGCATGCGTGCCTCGGCGTGCCTATCGGCGTGCCATTCGTTACTCCTCCATGTCCCTTTGCCCCCAGCCGACACCAGCATGCACCACCACACGGAGTGGGTGGCGACGGGCAGCGCGGTCAGCCTGGGCACGGCGGGCCTCGTCAAGGACAGCCACGGGTCGCGGAGAGACCCTCCCAACAACAACGGCGGGGGGCAGCCTCCCTCCGCCTCCGCCGCCGTGCTCGCACTCGTCGCCGTCCTCTGCGCCGTCCGTGCTCTGTAGAGGCTACCTTCGCCTTCGAGAGCCTTCCTGACGGATTTGGACTCACCCCCACCCTTGTCTCTCAAAAATATTAATTTTATAAACGATTTCTAATATAGTTAAAAATGAACTGTGACTGTTGAACTAAGATAACGAAGACTTTTCTACTCCATGATTCTCATGTGGTGTACGTCTCCGAGACGGAGAGGCACTTCTAGTCAGAGTGGAGCGAAGTGTAATGTCAGTGTTGAACTAGAAATAAATCTTAATTTTATTATCTGTGCTTAGTGTTTTCTAGCAAGGCAACAAATCAAACACACCAAAAATTTTCTCATAGCAATAAACTTTAATAATAAAATTAGCAAACAATAAAATATAATATCACATTCTGAAATGCAGTAGATCAACTTTCACACACGAGAGTATGCCGTTTTGCTTATTTCATGCTGTGCCCCTTCTGGGCATATTTAACAAAAACCCACAGAAGAGAAATGAAAGGAAAACCATCATTGCACCCAGTACATTCCCTTTTTTTTAATCTCCATTACACTGATACCTGAGCAAAGAAATCCAAATCCTACATACAGAGTAGTATACTGTGAAATTGCAAAACAAGGTTCAAACAAGAACGGGCATCATCAAAGTATTTACCTCATTCTATGGTTGAAAGTTGGTCAAAAAACAATTATTTTGAACAGAGTAAAGAAAGTAACCCACAGTTTGTAGTAAAAATATAAAGAGAAGTAAGACTGTTGTCATTTCACTTGTTCCCACTTAGTATGCAGGTTGTTAGCATGTCAAAGTCGATATGTCACTCATATTACTAATTGACAAGCCCACACCAGTACAAGAGAATGGTAGGAACTGCATCCAACAATAGATTACTACTAAAGACTTTTTTCCCCAGTTTCAAATTACATTTGAATTAAATAACCACCTCAAAGCTCTTATCATTTTCATGCACAATAGTCATATTTATATTACATCATTCCAAAAATATATGGCTGAAATTCTTTACTTAATAAACAATGTTTAGGCCTTCAAATCATTGCTAAATCATAATGCAGCCTCCATCATTTTAGAATCAGAAGGGTCAATAAAACCAACCAAAATTGATTGAATTACTGAGTAACTTCAACATCCCCTTTTCCTTAGAGCCTTGAATGAATTTTTAGGGATTTCACAGGGAATTCAGAGGTTTTGACTAGAATCTACAAGAATGTTCAGTTTGGAACCAGTGATTCATAATTTAAAGGCTTTGTGATTGTTTTCTCATAAATCCCAACGGTTCCTCTCAAGAGTGAAAAAGAATCAATCAATAAAGCCTGACTTATGACTCCTATTAAAGCATAGACAAAATTCATAAAAATATGGTCCAAGGTTTACATAAAACAAACTCAAAATGGCATAGTTTTGCTTTCTCCCAAAAATCAGTGCCTGCAGCAGAGAACTAACGGAATAAATGCAACTAAAAATCTCAGAAGGGATTCTTAGTTTTTTTAAAGGGGGAGGGGGGATAAAGAGGGAAAAGAAAACAAAGACCTAACCATAGGTTCAAAAAGATATTAAAATACACCAAATAAAAATAAGCTAATATTCTATCCCTCTACAATATGTGCATGCCCAAACTACGTACATACTGCCAGATAGTAAAAGGTATGAGATTACTAGATTACAAGATCACATGTGCTCACAAGTCTCCAATGCAAACAAGTAGTTCATTAAGTATCTCTCTAAAAATCTACAGTAGTTTATGTTTCAAGATAGAATTCTTATCTACAGTAGTTTAACTTTCAAGACAGATTTCCTAACTTCTAGCAAAGAGCCCAAATGCAGCTAACAATGCTTGGTCTAAACTATCTACTAGGCTTCACTGATTGCAAAGAATTTTATTGTATTGCTCATGTCAGTCCCAAAGTTATGGTGGGACATTTCATACTAATATCATTAAATCCATTATTTTTGTATTTTACGTATTTTCTTTTAAAGAATAATCTTTTGGCATTAAAGACAGGGGGAAGTATGGGTTGAAACCATACCCCTTCCTTTCATTGCATCACAATCACTTATTACATTGGCACTTTAGTCATTACATACCTACTATCTGCTGCATGTTTTCATTTGTTGGCTACGCATTCTATCTTGAGTTGTGTCCATTTGAAAAACAAAAATAGAGAAAAATAAAACTGGTTGAGATTAACATCTTAATGTGACAGCGACCATGGAAATCAGCATATAACTCTCAACAAAACAAGAACATAAAAAGCCTCCTTACAACAGTTTTGACCTGGTCTTAATAAATGTAAATAATGATTACAAAAATAACAGTCATTGTGCACATTTGGAACAGCAAACTAGCACTTTCTTTTGAAGAGGAAAATTCATCCAAACAATGCTTCTACGATAAACACAGCTGCTCAAAATCACATACATTTTAGTTCACCACAATGACAAACCAATACAATTGTGATGCACATTTTTCTTATGAACACTGATTGGCTTTGAATTTAAACTTATCATACAAGCAAATCAATAAGAGACAGCAAAACATTTAATATCAACTAAAATGAGCAATACAACTAACACATCAAAGTAGCTAGTCTCAGTTAATACTATGAGTACTATGCATAGTGCCAAAAAGAAAAAGTAACAAAGAGGAGACAACACACTGCACCATTTTCACTTGACTAGTAAATGGACGCGGGGCATTTCTACATTAGCCAGTTATTTGGTAATTTATTTTACATCTCTGCCTGCATTGAAATGAAAATTTACTAAGTAACAAAGTGTGAGGAAGTAATTCCAATCCACACTAAAAAGTTTATCTCAAAAGATCTTGCTTAGATCTTTGAGATGTTTTGAAGTCATCTCTTACTCGGGAAGATCGAGAGTGTAACTTCCGGAATGTGCTGTCTAAGTTATGTTGAGGGAACATTGTCACTAAATAGCCCTCAAGAAGAACATAAACAAGTCTTCGGTTCAAGACAGGGTGCTGGAACATCTCAAATACTCTTAAAAGTCCTCTGCGCATTGTTTCATTACCAATAACGTGTTTAAACTCATCTGACAACATAAAAGGACACACAAATTAATTTAAGTGACTCCACGAACTTCATCTCTAGAAAATATAACAAGCTTACATATGATAGCTTACCTGACAAACTACATAGAAGAGCAACTTTTGCAGCAACTCGTGTTCTCATGCGAGTAGCTTCATCACGAGCCTGTCGAGGTTCAGCCTTCATTCCATTGGGCCAAAGAGCATGTCTAGGGACAGAGAAAATCCATTAGCAACCTCCCAGGCTTAAAATTCAACTAACAAATTCTACACATTTTTTATTTTAAAAAGGAAAAAAAACTTACTTGAAAGCACAAAGGTAGTCTGCAACCTGCTCTGGACTAGTCATCAGAGCAACATAGTCAATTATTCTCCTATTAACAATATCACCAAACATCGTTCGAATAATTTGACGGAGTAAGGTAACAATCCTGCGTCGAAGCCACTGATTTCTTGATTTCAAATCAAATACTTCATCCATTAAGAGCAGCATGATTCTTAGAGGAATGTTGTCATCCGTCTGAAATTTTAATTGAAATAAGTAATATTAATTAAACACAACATGGAAAAAAAAAGCTGAGAATCAAAAATAAGATGGTATAAATTAGTTTATATACATACCTCTTGATCTAAAGATGCACCAACTTTCATTGAATCCTCATCAACCTTTGACACATTAGGCTTGGTTTGGAAAACTTTAGTCAGACCATCCATGACCCCATCAACTGTGCTCAGTAAATTATCTGGCATTGATCGTACAGCCTGCCCTACTGTGCGTACTGAAGACTTCAAAGGATTTACCAGTGTGTCAAACTAGTTAACAGAAATTTGATAACATTAGTTAAATAGGTTTCAAAGAAGAAATTGGGACATTTATAAGCGTAGTTGGCATTACCGTTCGAGATATTTGGCCTCCAGTTACCCCTTTGTCATACTCTCCTGGTTCAAAAAATGATAGTAGGAGTTGCACCAAACCTATATGAGATGATAAAACTCCGGGTTGCACTATGATCTGAAGATAGTTGTTGAGCATTTTCATGCGTTTTTCCAAAACTGCACGATCCATGTTGTGAAAAGTTTTCTTGCCAGGAAAAGTCAGCTTGGCAAGGTCAATGTACTGAGAAAAAAGAAAAGTGTTAACTCTCTCATACCCATAAAGGTTTTGCTTTATCAACATTATGAAATGCATTTAATGCACAGGTATAACGTATGTTTTCAATAAATCCACTTCAATACCTTCTCCTTAATTTTCTGATGAAGGTCATAAAAATCTGAGTACCGTCTGTATATATGCCACTTGTCTTGAAACCCACTTTCATAACTTTTACACACTGACACAGCATAGATGCCATACGATTTTCCATGGTCATTTAGTAGCCCTAAAAGAAAATACCAAGATAAACTCAATACAAACATTTTGCAGACACCAAAAAATCATCAGTTTACCACATGTCTAATCACCTGTTCCAATGATTTCAGCCGTTAAAGCAAAAGGACCATTTTGTGTCTTCTTTGGGTCAGCAGCAGGAGGGTTGGGTGATTGTTTAGAGTTTAGCTGAGATAACTCGGCAGCCAATTGTGAGCCCTCTATCACAGGACCACAGGCTAAATAGAAATTTCGGAAATTTACATGAAGCTGGTGCAAAAATAAAATTCAAATAAAAACTGCAATTTGTCAGGCCCTACCTTGAGTGGCATCAAGTGCATCAAGAGAACTGAGGCTGATATTGTCAGAGAGACTCATTTCATCTGCAGAAACTGGATAGTCTATATCATCCTCATCACTGCGCGACCAACTCTCTTTCAAGAGATCTAGCTCTGCTAACAGTTTGACATAACCAATACTTCTCCGGAAGCCTGGTAAAAATTTATCTTCATTCTGCAACAAAAGGAGAGTGGCAATTCAATCAAATATTCACTATGTGATGCCAGTGCAAGATGAGGCAATATTTTATATTGATGAATTCATTACCTGAAGCTTTTCAAACACATTATTTTGAATTTCATCGAACCAAGTTTCATTAACAATTTCAGTTCGAATTCTAAATAGGAGATGTTTCACAACTGTCTCATCTAGTTTCAACCGAGGTGAAGCCTGAAATCAATTGTGGTTGGTTAGAGAAGATGAAACCATTATTATTTCAATTATTACAGTTCAGTTATTATTACTTTTTCAGAGAGATACTGCTCATAGATGCTGTAAGCTGCTTCTTTCATATTATCAAGGGTAATTGAATTATTGGTGTCAATGTTACTGTTATTTGAGTTTGCATTCAATTTCTGCAACTCCATATCAGAGACCTGGTGTTCAGCAGAAACTCTCCAACCTAGAAAAAGGAAGGAAGGAAGTAAGATAATGTCAGGATATGTAACTGTATGTTAATATCATGTAGCATGAGGACTCTACCTTCTACATTTAAGTAAAAGAAAAGATATGCTTGAGCATCAATGTTAGACATGTACTCAATAAAATATGAAAGTGCAATGTTGTTTTTCAGGACAACATCAAGTGGTAAGGAGAATAATTTATTGGCACCCGGTGCAAGAAGCTTATTCCAATCCACATGTGCAGGTAATCCTGAAATGAAAAAAAGTAACTCATCAATTTAAAACAATTTGTGTGTGACAGAGTGGTTGTGAAACAGACGAGACAGAGAAAGTCTACTTGCCAACAGAATCTGTTTCTGATCCCTCTTGAAGCCGAGCCAACCGAATATCTACAACTTTACGAACATATAAAAGACTGCTAAGCTGCTGTTTGACCCATGTGTCATCCTCTCCTCCAGAATCACGAGATCTCTGAAAACATGAATTTACACACATAGATAGTTCAGTCAGTATCCATAAAGTGGTGATAAACTGAAAAGATACCATCAGACATACCACTTGAGCAATTTCCTTCTCCAATAGCTCCCTCGTAGCATGTAACTCGTCTAAGTTGTCAGTTACTCTTAAGACTGTCAAGAATACATCACTTGTTGGCATGTCTCGACACTGCAAGTGATCAAAATTAAGTAAGATTGATGGAAAAGGTTTTAAGACACTTAAATATTTAGAACAGAGTTGATACTCACAAGCCATATTATAGTTTGATTGATATAATCAGGATCAGAAAATAAATCTAATAGTGGCAGGATGATTACTTCAACAAACAGCTCCCGGACTAGAAATCTCAAAGTTTTGCAGTGAAAGTCATCTTCAGGTAAGAGCAAGAATAGCAATATTTCTGCAATGTCTCGTAAATATTCTGAAACAAGCAATAAGATCAGTTTCAACATGTAATCACCATAGAACAAAAAAAAAAGACACATAAGTTAAACCTACGTTTCTCTTGATCTCTTTCAGTACACACTAAATCACGACACAATAGATTATCTTCCATTGTAACTTCCAAGTCAAAGAAAGCTGTTTCCAAATCAACAGGAATAGAGGGTGATGAGGGTCCACCTGCATTCGATGCAGACACAGCAGACCCTAACGATTGAGACTGTGCCTGGTGTTTACTGGACCCTGGTGGGAGTAGGTGTGCTGAAAGCGCAGCACTGCTGTGCATTGGTGAAGTATCCTGGTCCGGAGGACATATCAGAGCAATGAGCACAGAAAGGAACTCACATGCATGAAATATACTACACTTGATTACTTTGAACCTACCTTTCCTCCTTGTTTAGTATCAAATTTTGATCCACTAGCCTGCCTGCTATGACTCGGATGGTAAGAAGTTGGAGCCGGTGGGTGTTTCATTCGGCTCCGTGCTTGTCTGTAGAGTCTTAGATGGGAAGCAGCATCATCTACAAGCTTAGTGGTGAGGTACTGTATCCAATCTACCTCTTTCACCCTGAAGTATGAGAAGTATGAAGCATTATTTAAAACAAAGCCTTGTTCACTACGTGGCTAACTTTTAATAGTTCTCCAACACATAAGAAACATAGGATTTATTTTTTCAACCTACCTGTTGGAAAAGCTCACAATGACTTGTTGAGCGGTGGCACGAACTTGATGTGGGAACTGCGGATGAGCACTTACTCGATCATACCATGGTTCAACCTGATCCCGTATAATGTAACCCAGGATCTCTTGAAGACTTTCATCAATGAGTTGAGATCCTGTGAGTCTTTTGTCAAGTTTATAGGTAGGAGGAGGTTGCAAACGCTGAACAACCTAGAAAAGTTCCAGAACTTAAATGTCTTACAGATTTGCATTTTAAAAACTCTTCAAATTTACTTCAATAGACCCTTACAGTCGTTGCCAAGTGACCAACAAGAGTAATCAAAACTAGGAAAGTACCTACTGGTTCCTGGCTTTTTGATTACTTGTGTTCTTCACTAGGCGACAACTGAAAGGGTCTGTTAATACAGATGCAAACTTTTACCTTGGAAAGACCTGTTTTCTTTTCGCTGATAACTGGCCTTCCCTCACTGTCCACATCATCCGTTGGTCCATGTTTCCAATGTAAAACAGTGAACCCCCTAAGCAGCAACAAAAGGTGCAACAAGTTTTGTTCAAGTTAAACAATTTAAGGGAAATGACCATAAGAAAACTACTTACCCTAAACAAAACACGAAAAAGAGGATACCAATGGAAATAAGCCAAATTATTCCAAATAGGGGTACAAAGAGGATGAGGCCCAACCCAAAACATCCCCAAAATAATAAATTCATCTGTGAAGAAGAAACAAAAACTTTAATAGAGCAACAGGGACAAGTACCTCATGAACGTAAGAGTTTGCTCCAAAACAAATGGACTACAAGATTTCAAATAAATAGGAATCATGCTAAACAAGCAAAAAAGCAGACAAAATTAAACCAAAATGAATTGCAGAAGTTCGCCAATTTGACAGAGGAATGTGTTAGAGGTTAACAAATGTTATTTAATGTCATTCCCATAGTGGTTACTTACGATTTGTGTCTTCTGAAGAGGAAAATCATGCTAGTCTATGGAGTGCCTTTTCCATTGGTGAGTACCAATATTTATGGTCCCATTGTCACGATATAATCGGACTTTTTCGACATTCTGCGAGAGTCACACTTGGACGTTTGTTTTTGTTTGACTACCTGTCGCGGCCTTGTGAATGGGCTGCTTGCTCATGACGTTTACGACGACCTCTTCTCTGCCCGCACTCCTCTCCTCCACACAAACAGAAGGATAACGCTTATTTTGGAACATTTTTCGGCAAGGATAAAGATTTACAATGCTGCGGAGCGCTTCAAAATTTTCGCGATATCGGCAGCTGGAGGTGAGCAAATGTTCGGAGTGCCGTGTTTATCATGTGCCCCTGACACTGTTGTCCATGGGTCACATAACCTGTTTAAAGTGACTTTCTGAGGACAGATCCACTTTTAAATGAAGTTTTATTGTTATCTACCGCAAAATTCGATTTGACAGTCATTTTAATGTGTTTGAAAGTAGAGTAGTTATTGCTGTCTCACCTGTCACCTCTTTCAGTTGTTACGTTCTTAATGTTTTGTCGGGCTTAAATCTCAAATTTGGCTTAAATTTTTGTCTCATTCACAGTTGCAGCTCAGCATCCTCAACAAACCATGCAGACAAACAACATCGATCAGACACAGCTCTTCTTCTGGTCAATCCAAAAAACGAGGGTAAGCAAATTTAAAATTGATATTTGATGTCAGCGCGTGTCTACATCTCAACTCAATTCATACTCTCAATTGTAAAATTTTCAGGTTTGGCCTCCTTAAAACTCTGACAGGACTAGCAGTTGTAACAGGAGCCACTATGTCATATGCCAAATTTGATCCGGACTTCAGGGAGTGGCTGAATACCCAAGTTCCTTACTCCAGTGATGCCATTAACATTCTCTTTCAAGAAGACCAAACTATCTCCGAAAGGATTGACAATTTCTTAACAAGCATTCAGGATTGGTATGCATTTTAATGTTTGAATGGCTCTGTACTTTAAGCCTTGTGTCAAATGTACAAGTATGCAATAAGCAATGCCTGATTACCATTTTACATGTATAGGTTTGGAGGTTGGTTTTCTTCTGACAACTCTCAACCAATAACGAAAGTAAACATACCTCCTGTAGAGAAAAAAGAAGTTGTACCATATACAGGTAAATCATATTTTTGTGCTTGATTACTACTCTTCTCCTTGGGTGCATACCATTTTAGTGTCACTGACAAATTCTGTAGAAAAAAAAATGCTAGTGTTTGTTGTCCCTTGATCACCACCATCATCTCCAATATCCTATTTTGTCCGTCCTTTGGTCCAGCTCCTAGATCAGCCATTACCCCTCTCCTTGATGGTGAAATTCCCCCTGAGTCCGACCCTAGTGATCCACCCGAAAAACCCTGGAAAGAAATACGTGTATTAGCCCCTCATGATAATGTGCAGTCAAGTAAGAGAAAAAAAATGTAAGAAATTTTTTTTGTGCACCTATGTTAATGATATTTTTTTCCCTTGTGTTCCATTTTTAGTTACAACTATTGACAAACCGAAAAAGCAGGAAACAAAGTCTGAGGTTCCCAAAGCTGTTACCCCTACCAAAGTAGCAGATTTAGAGAGGGAAATCACGAAAAGTACCACTGTTGCAGTAGAAACATATGGGAAAGCAATTAATGCAATCAGAGGTAAGAGGCTGTTAGTATGTAAGTAAGCATCAATGAACTGCCTTAGTACTAATAAGGAAACCCCTTGTGATTCTGTGTAGAGCAAGCAAGATTTGTGCAAGAATTGGTGACGAGTGACTTGAATCGATTGCAACCAGAATTGTGGTCTAATCTAAAAGAAAAATCAAAAAATTGTGAGCAGCTTTTAACAAGTGCTGAAGAAAATGCCAAAAATGCCCAGTAAGTTAACTTAATCAACAAGTATGAACATAAAAAGTTAAAATAACTTACTGAGTCTTTGATTCTGTTGTTACAATCAGAGTGAAGATGCAGGAAGTAGAAAAGCTGCTGTCATCTGGGGAGCTTGAGGCACCCGCTTCAGTCAAAGAACATCTTGAAAGAAATATCAAAAGAATGAAAGCTGATATTGAGAAAGCATGTCAAGAGACAGAGAATGAAAAGTTCAATACGAGTGTCACCAAAGGCTTGTGGTCAAGGGTTCAGGAAGCCCGTAAATATTGGCAAGTAAGTTAATGATATAATGCATATGTAATCCTGTTAAATTTAATTATTTTTGTCTCTCCTCACCTTACTTTTGATTTTTCCTTGCATGTAGGATGAGCTGGAGGTTCTCTTTCCAGGACTCAACCTTGATGATAAAAATTTCACAGCCATGTCTGATGAAATTGGGCAGTTTGTATTGTACTCCTACATCAATGTGCAGTACTTCCAAAAAGAGCTGGCTAAACTGGAGGTAGGTTATCTCAGCCAGGCTATGCAGTGTGGTCCAGGCTTCAGTAACAAAGTCCATAATAAACCTGTTTCTTTCCTTATTAAGTTTATATTTTCTTTTGTTTTTTTTTCTTCTTTTAAATGTGTATGATCTTACTTGTTTTGTTTAGATTAATGCAGATAAAAAGCTAAGAGATGCGATCGCAAAGTCAACTGCTGCTAACGACTCCTCTGCCCTGGTCTCAGCAGCTGTTGAAGTCGAGCTAGCAAACGAACGAAGGGAATTAGATTTGAAATATCAGAGAAAGGTATAGCTTATAATGAGATTTAATTTTAATCATATTTGGGATTTCAGATTATATTATGACATTCTTTGTTTTTATCTTTTTCAGTCAATGGAACTTCGTGCTGCTTGTGAGCAAGAAATTCGGAAGCAGCTCCGTATTCAAACAGAAGTTCAGGCTGATCATTTGCGTGACTCAATCAAGTTAAGAGAAATGGAGATTGAACGTAGTCACCGCCGAGAACTTGGCAAGGTTCTGACTGAAGAAAATGCTAAGTATCAGATGCTTTTAGCTGCTTTGTTGGGTCGTATGAGAGGAATACATCAAGGTCTTCAAGGTTTGTTTAGTTTCAGCCTCAAATTTTTAGTCACTTGTGGCTGTTGTGGAAGTCTATCTCCTAATGTGCATCTCCCTGGGTTTATTTCACAGATTTTGTGAAAGTGGACAAGTCTGCACAAGAGGCTCAAGATTTATGGACAGCTTGTCAAATACTTTACAGAAACTTACAGTCACCAAAAGGACCTCAGCCTCTGGCTAATGAAGTCAACTCCATCCAAAAAATTGCCGGTATGACTTGTTTGTGTTATCAGCAGTTTATTCTGACTTGAAGTGTGTGTTGTTTTTTAATTCTCTTCTCTTAATTTTTTTTTTCAGAATCAGATGAACTAGTTAAAACTGTTCTAAAATCATTGCCCTCAGAGGTGTCTACTAGGGGAGTTTATCCTCTTAGGGTGTTAAGAGAACGCTTCTTAAAAGTAAGACTTGTGTTTGATCCATATATTACATTACAATCTGTCTGTGACCTTGCATCCATCCATTTATATTTATGAAATGACAGAATCTGACTCTTCAAATACTCCTGTCTAGGTTGAAAAGGCCGCTCGTACTTTAGCTGCTGTGCCTGAAGATGGAGGAGTTCTCCCGTTATACTTGCTCTCATGGGTTCAGAGTAAATTAATGTGGAGCGATTCTGAACTCATAACCCAGGAAGAACTGGAGGATAAACCCACAGCCCATGAACTCTTGACCAACTATGACCTCCTATCCAGAGCTAGGTAAGCATGAAAGTAGTTCATATTTGCTTGAATAGTCAGCAGATTTCATTTTGACGAATTTGCCTTGTGCTCATGCTTCCTTTTCTTCAGATTTTGGGTGGACCGAGGTGACCTTGCTCAAGCATTAAGATATATGAATCTTCTTGATGGAGCATCCAAGTCTATTGCAATTGATTGGATGAAAGAAGCTCGCATTTACTTAGAATGTCAGCAGGCTGCCACTGTCTTAGTCACTCATGCTTCTGCAAAGGGTCTCATGTTCTCATAATGGTAGAAATTTCTAACTAATCTTTTTGAATTAATTTGAGAGAGCATTTTGGAGGGAGTTCCATTGCGAGTGATTTAGCCATTACATTCATGTGAAGGGCTCATTTCTTCTTCTTGCTTGTGGAAAAAGAAAATATTTATACCTTTTCTTTCATTTATTTACTTGGCTGAAAATACATGCTCTTATTGCTCAGCAAATCTAAATACTGTGGATCTCATAGTTTTTGCAAAAGTTTTGAATTACTTTCAATTTTACAATGAAGCAAGATTGAAGACATCACAGGTATTGAGCATTCTTTTACTATTGAATGAGTAACAGTAAAAAACTGTTTACCTTCAGTACTTACAAAAAAAATCATCTTTTCTATGTGGGATTATTGGATTGTTCCAAGTCCAGCATTAATTAACATGTGATGCATTGGCAGTGCATGTGGAACTCTTCTTCCTGGAAATCGATCCATGTTGCTAGGTAAATAGGTACTGTTTTACATTAAAACTTACCTTTGTATCATACTGTTATTTATTTTGTAGGCCAATGAAACTATGATAAAAATTATGCCTTGATTATTTTGAGAAAGAATAAACTGTTAGTTAGTTAGTTTTGGATTTGCTTATTTCCACTTCCCAGAATTGTGGTACAAACAAATCACCCCTTTCAGTAACTGTGACAACTTGAAAAGTTGGAACAATGATAGACTCTTAGCAGACTCTTATAAATAAACATTTTGCATTTTCAAATCAAAATTGGTTCATAAAATTCTGATAATTCACTACATCATGATCACTGACTAGATAATTGACAAACATTTGTGCAACTTAGATTAAACAAAAATGAAGGGAGAAAAAAAGAGATCAAGAAAGAAATCACAGCAAACTGGTGCATATCACACAACAAATTAATCTTTGTACATAAGTGCACACTCATTGATTTAAAAACTGTGCTTCATATTTAATACGTAATATGAGGCCACTTTTAAAAGATAAATAAATAAGATACAATTTTATAAGCTTAGAATCACAATTAATTAACATCTACAGTGGACGGAATAGGCATCACAATAATTATGTCTTGATCAAAGGATTCTTTAACTCATAAAATTAAAAAAGAAAGTGAAATGTTGCATTTAACTTCACACTTATGATCTGGAGCAGACTACTTCTTCTTTACTGTTTTGCTGATCCACTCCATACCGTCCTGAAATGAGGATGAAATAGGTTGTGAAAAGTTGGTTCATAATAGTCCGGGACCACACAAGTCAAGGTAGTGTTCATTTGATACCTTGATTCCTTCTCCAGCTGTGGCCGAACAGGCTTGAATCTGCCATGGCCTGTCTTTGATTGTGTGCAAACCAAGACCAGTGGCTATCTCAGAGGCAGGTGCTGCATGCAAAAGATCCTGCTTGTTGGCATAGACCAGAAGAGGCACCCCCGACATGGCTGGCTCTGACAGCAGTTCCTCCAGTTCTTGTCCAGTTTCTTCCAGTCGCTTCCGATCAGCAGAGTCAATTACATAAATCTAAAAATTCAAAATGGTCTTTAAAATGGTACTTTGAAATTGTTTTTTGAATCCCTAGGGAGACAAGAATTTGAAAGAACATATTGCATGAATAAAAGACTACTCACAAGAACATCTGTGTTTTCAAAGTAGTTTCGCCAGTAGGGTCTTATCTTTCTTTGACCTCCTATGTCCCAAACATTCAAACGGAAACCTTCAGATTGAACTGATTTTATGTTAAACCCTTGGGTAGGAGTTATGTGAGCTATATCTTCTGATGCAAGGCTCTTCAGAAGGGTTGTTTTTCCTGCATTGTCCAATCCCAACAATAGCAAACGTAATTCCTTGTCAGGGGACGATTTCAATTTCCTGAGGATTGCCAAAAGACCCTAAAAGAAATGATTGTAAAGAAAACACAATAAGAAGGCACATAACAAGTCCCACAAATTCAGAAGAAAACTAAGACATTGGGACTGCTGGCATGCACAGCAGACGTCTAGAAAGAGATTTCATTCATCGCATTAGAAATAAGTACCATTGTCAGGATGAAGTTTCAAGATGCCGCTCTTGTGCGAGGTTCAGCAGACTCGTAATCGATTCTATACCTACAAACTGTCAAGGATAAATTAGATTGTTGCATTCAACACGCGTATCATTGATTTTCGTTTGACGTTGTTGTTTGTTTGACAGCGAGCGAAAACAACTTCATTTGTTTTTTATTGTAGCGTCTGCTAGCTTCTGCTACCCGATGCGTCAGATGTAGAGGATGTAGAAATACGTATGCAAAAAAAAACCGAACCACTGGGATAATAAACCATTAACTTTTAAAAAGATATTTTAGTGGGAATATGGAAATAGATTGACAGAATTTTCCTCATCCACCTCAAATAAATTTTTACCGGCTTTAGTATTGTTCATATACCACCAGAACCCCGTAAGAAGCCTTGCAAACGATTGAGGATTTGCAAACTTAATACCCTAACTGCTTTTTCAGTACCACAGAGGAAGTAATATCAAAGTATGGACAGTACTTTCATGACCAGTAATGTTCTCACACGTGTGAATAACCGATCAGAATATTTTTGATGGGTTGGCAACGTTTGTTGCAGGTGCGAAGTCAGTGGTACCAACAAATGACTTTAATGACGCCTCTTTCATGCCTCTTTTTTCTGATTCATGTGTAATAACCAAGCTGAGGAAGGAAATATGGTCTTTCTGACAAAAAAATAAATACGATTCACGTTTTTTTCTTCGAGAACCGATAATAATAGGTTCTGATGAAATTCGTAGTGGGTGTCCTTATGTTGGCTAAGCTGCAAGCGCGCTTTATTTAAGCCTTGGATTGGAAACTGACATCGGCTATCTATCTTTCTTTGTATTACTTGCTCGGTCAAGAGCACTGAAAGAAGTATGCACGTCATTTCTGGTTTATCGAGACTCGCTTCGAAATATTATGTTTTATAACGATTGGTCTATTGTTGGATGGGTGGAGCGGGTAGAGCATAGCAGATGCGTCTCGTAGGGACGCGCCATGTAATGAAAACGGCAACAAAGTAGACACCTGAGCACTCGGTTCTTTATTTTTACTTTACAATAAAATAAAGTGGCGACTTGGCTGCAGGCGAGTCGTCTGGTTCGGGCCCGATGTCGCAGCTCTCATCCGTGAAGTCCGCGGGTTCGATCGACGGGGCGGGCGGCGGCGGCGGCCTTGACGGCCTTGACGGCCTTGACGGCGGCACCGCGCGGCAGAGCACCCGGACGAAGCAGTGGCCCGTCGAGAAGTGCCAATCCGACCCGACCTCCTGAGCGACCGCCTGGCGCCTGCAGGCGGCAGGCCTGCACGACGCCTCGAGCTGGTCAAGGCCAAGACCGTGGCGCGGGCGGGGGCGGCGTTCAGTGGCAGTAGGGGTAGTTGGGGCAGGCGGCGGGCGACACGCCGGCGGGGTACTCGCGCTGCGCCCAGCCGGGCAGCGGGGCCACGGCCACGGCCCCCGTGTTGCAGTAGGGGTAGTTGGGGCAGGCGGCCGGCGACACCCCCGCGGGGTACTCCCTGCCGCCCCACACGGTGGGCTGCGGCGCCACGGGCACGCCCAGGCCGTTGCCGTGCAGCGCCAGCAGCAGGTTGTCGCAGTGCGGGTAGTTGGGGCACAGCGCGGGGTTCAGGCCGGCGGGGTAGCGGTCCGCCGCCAGGCTGGCCGAGGCCACGGCCACCAGCGCGCTCAGGGCCACCTGCACAAGGGACGAGAACGGTGATGACAAGGGCAAGCGCACCGACCCACAGTGGGCCAGAAGACCGGTGGAGGCGGTCAGAACCCCGGACGCGTATTGAGCTCCAGAGTCGCTAAACAGGACTCGAACCGAACGTGTGACCCCACCAATGGATTGCTCTCCCAAAGAGGAATCCATTGGTGGGGTCACACGTTCGGTTCGCGTCCTGTTTAGCGACTCTAGAGCTCTAAACTCGAGGAGAGTTTTGAGCGCAACCACCGGTCTTCTGGCCCACTGTGCGACGCCCCTCCCTACAAAAAACGCAGCCTTGCAAGTCGCCTCAGTTATCCTTTCCAAGTCCTTGCCACTGACAGCTCCCCGCCCTGCTCTGCGACGAGCTGATCGCCTTCTGCGACCGCTGCACCGGATCGTCTTGCAACTCTTGTGCCTCTCTGCCGTTGAGGTCTCCTCTGCGGCGGCGGCCCCGCCCTGCCCCGCCCCGCCCCGATCGCGCCAGCGCCGATGATATAAGCCCCGCGGGCCGCGGAATGGGCACTGCCACACTGCACTCGCTGCACTCTGATGCGGGCGACAGCGCGACAGGGGATGTCGTCCTTGTGCCTCTGCCGGGACTCGGGAGTCGCTGCGCTGCGGGCGGTGCAGCGCGGTGCGCATGGCGCGAACGGAGTGCTCTTCCTTCTCTCGCACTCACGGGGCGCGCCGCATAGGGGTTCGAGAGAGACAGAGCGCCGCGAGACACTGTTCGGCAGCAGCCCACACAGCGCAGCAGCGCAGCCAATCATGACAGGGGCGTCACTGCGTCACTTCGCGCGCGCTCCTCGATTAATGTAGTCGCGATTCAAATCGAACGGCCGGCTGGCGCGCGGCGCGCGGTAAATGCATCACGATCACACCGTGGCAAGTGGCCATTCCATCCCGGGCCGACGACAAGACGGGACCGCCGTGACGACGACGGCGTGGGACATCAGCCACCTGCCTCGCCGTCGCGTGCCTCGCGCTTCCGGATCGCCATTGCCGATAATCTCCGCTAATCTCTCCGCCGATTTGAATGGGCGTGGCGTGGCGTGGCGTGGCGCGGCGTGGCGTGGCGCGGCGTGGCGCGGGCCACAATGACGGCGGGGGCGCATCGAGTGTCGCGGCTCGCGGCTCATCTTTCTGCACCCAAGGCCAGGGTCCAGCCGCGGCAAGCCTTGCGACAAAGACGCGAAGACTCATTCCGGGAGTCGTTTTCGTCGCTCTGTCTCTATCGCGCACCTATACGGGACGCCCCATGAGTGCGAGAGGGACAGAGGGACGAAAACGACTCTCGGAATGAGTCTGCTAGCGAGGGTCCGGCCGCGGCAAGCCGGGCCAAGCCTTGCGACAAAGACGCGAAGGTCCAGCCCGCCCGGTGGCGCAACAAGCCAGCACTATACTCAATAGTATACGCAGCAGACTATGATTCCGAGAGTCGTTTTCATCGCGCTGTCTCTCTCGTACTCAAGGGGCATCCCGTGTAGATGCAAGAGAGACAGAGCGACGAAAACGAGTCTCTGAATCAGTCCGCAGTACGCACACTGGCAAAGTGAGCCGTTTTGCAGAGCCCCGCGTGATTACGGCGCCGCGGCGGCCAATTATCATGTTTCATCAGGTGCGAAATATTTACCGCCGCACTTGGCACGCGTCCTGCGGCAAGGCGGGGCGGGGCGGGGCGGGGCGGGGCGCGAGGAAGCGGAGGCACGGCTTGGTTTATGAGGACTGATGATCGACCACGGGAAGAGTGAATTACTCGACATTACACTAGAAAAAGATTTTTAAAAATCACAAGGCTCACCGAGAAGCTTTAGCTTTACTCAATTATGTTTTGGACGCTTGGATCATTCGCTCTTGGTGCCATTTCACAAACCGGCCCAACCTCTTTTGGCTTTTGCAGCTCAGCCAAGTCTTTTGCCGCGAACCGAAAAGTTTTGGCCGCGAGCGGTTTGAGGCCGTCGCTCCGTTTACGCCTCGCCTTCGCCTTTCACTGCAACAGTGCACCGCCGCGCCCGGATAACTTTGGATTGACCAAGACTGTGGAAGATGATGCAACTTTGCCTCTGCATTCGAGACTGAAGGGTTCGCGGAGGTGCTTCTCTCAGCGGTGAGGGGAGAATCACCCGCCTCGGGGCAGGGACGCGAGGGCACTGCGTGAACTTGAGAGGGACTCCAGTGAACCGCGCGACCGAACCAGGCAGAAGCGGTTCCGAAGCGGGCCGCGGGGCTTTTGAACTTGGCCCGTCATCGGGGCGGGCAGGACACACCGACAACACTGCACTCACCAGCTTGCCGATCATGTTGGGGTGTGGGTGCGGCGCGGTGCGACTTTGACGGCCGACGGAGCGATGATGTCGTGGAGACGCGCCGCGCCGAGTTTATATATCAAAGTGGCTGAAAGTGCGCTGGCCGGCGTGCCGGCGGACCGCGCCGCGCTGGCCGAGTGGGCATTCCACGCCGGGGCGCCGCGATTGGCTGCCGTTGGCTGCACTGGGCGCAGCCTGGGGTGGCGCAGCATGCATGGCGCAGCCTGGACGAACGGCCGCGGCGTTGGCCGCACTGCGCGCCGGCCTGCCATTGGCCGGCGGCACGCTGGCGGCACGCTGGCGGCACGCGCCCCTGCAGGCCGGCTCCGAAAACGGCCGCGTCGCTCGGTCCCTCTCGCACTCACGGCCAGGGCCGCGAGAGGGACAGAGCGACGCGGCCGTCGTGCGGAATGAGTGGAATGGGACTGACCAGCTCCCCGCAGAACTAATGTCGCCGCGGTGCGAGGCAGACAGCGAGACAGGTGTCGCGGCGTCCCTCCCCACGGCTGCCCCTGGCCTCCGCGGGTCGCCTCGGGCGGGGTGGGGCCGTCGTCGCCTCCTTCCTCGTCCAGCACGGCCGCCCTCTTCTTTGCAAGGCCAAGGACGCCGGGATGGCAGCAGCCGCGTCGAGAGATTCGCTTCGAAAGGGCTCCATAACTGAAGCACACTACAGCTAAAGTATAGTGTACTGCAGTGCCCCGCTGACCCAGTGAGCGTCGCTCCATTAGACCCCGGCCGGCGTTTGAGCAGCTATCGAAACGCCGGGTGCATCCTGCCCGGGCTGCCGGCGCGCGCGGGCCGCCGCGTTGCGCCCAGAGCACAGAGCAGGCCATCCTGGCCGCCCCGCCGCCCCGCACTCTGCACGAGCTGAGTGCGCCGACGACCGCGGCACAGTGGGCCAGAAGGCCGGTGGAGGCGGTCAAAACCCCGGACGCGTTTTGAGCTCCAGAGTCACTAAATGGGACTCAAACCGAACGTGTGACCCCACCAATGGATTACTCTCCGAACGAGGAATCCATTGGTGGGGTCACGCGTTTGGTTCGAGTCCTGTTTAGCGACTCTGGAGCTCAAAACGCGTCGAGAGTTTCGGCCGCCTCCACCAGTCTTCTGGCCCACTGTGCGCGGTCCGCGCCCTGGGGCCGAGGGTCGAGAGGCGCCTTCGCCCTGGGCGTGGCCGCGTGGCCGCCCTGGCCGTGTTCCTGCACAACGCGCCACGCGCCCACAGCGCACCTGGCATCCAGTCAAGTACGTGTAGCGGTGTAGCGGTGCACGGCCAATACCACCGGCAGCCTGCAGTGCAGTGCGCGCGCGCGGGAGCAAGGCTGGCGACAAGTGCTTCTCCGTGTTCTGTGTTCCTCGCAGACTCGCAGATGGGGTCGCCGGCCACCGATATTGTAGGACTGCGCGGGGCCTGCACGCCCGTGGGGAGAGAAGGGCTAGGCCTGGGCTGGGCTCCGGAGGAGACGTTACACTAGACAGCCTTGTCGGAGGAACGGAGGAGACACATTGTGGAAACAGAATTCTGGCATGCGTCTTCAGTTTGGCCAACTTTGCGGTGCCACTGCTCCAGGACGCTCATTGCATAGGCCTATCCGATGCAGGGCACATTTGAGATAAGAGTGTTTGGACTAGCCAGAAGTTTAGGCAGTAAGATGAGCTACATAGGTTCGGGCGCAGCGCAGCGGCCGCCTGAAGTCTCCTCCCCGCGGGTCGAGGCCAACCAAGGCCAACCCCAAGAACGCCTCGGAGGTAGGCCACCGCGACGCAGGCGAGCGCGGCGGGACGGTGTTCGGGGAGGACGGGCGGCAGCGAGGCTGGCTTGACTCGGCTATAGCGTCTCCGGCTCGCCGCCTCTCTCTACAATGTCGGCTCTGGATGTCGTCTGTTAACTGTTGCATTTGCATTCCTGGGCGTGTTAATGCTGTGCGATGGCCTGACAGATAGCGTCCCGTTGCGTGCGGGGCGGGGCGGGGCGGGGCGGGGCGGGCGGGGGGGCGGGGCGGGCGGGCGGGCGGGGTGGGGCGCGCGTGGTCGGTGGCGCCGGGGCGGCTACAGCGCTACTGCGTGCCGCGCCGCATAGCGCCACGAAGCTGGGACGTAGGTCGCAGGGACTTTACGTTGTACGTCCAGTGCACGTCTTGCGAAAGCCAATGTTTGGTTTCGAAACCCGGGCACACTGGTGTGCGGTATCACTGGCAGCGGGGCAAGAGCAAGTAGCAAGGCGACGCACAGTGGGCCAGGAGACCGGTGGAGGCGGTCAAAACTCTAGACGCGTTTTGAGCTCCAGAGTCGCTAACAGTACTCGAACCGAAAGTGTGACCCCACCAATGGATTCCTGATTCGGAGAGCAATCCATTGGTGGGGTCACACGTTCGGTTCGAGTCCCAATTAGCGACCCTGGAGCTCCGAAACGAGTCTAGAGTTTTGACCGCCTCCACCGGCTTCTGGCCCACTGTGCGACGGCGCGATTGGCGAGTGCCCCGCATGCCTTGGCTGCTGCCTTGGCTGTGCCTCGCCTGTTATCACGGCGAAGGCGAAGCAAGGCGAAGGCCACTGGCACGCGCCTCTTGCCTCACGGCCATCTCCACCTCCCCACGGTTACGCCCAGCCGCCCAGCACTGTCACTCTGGACCATCGCCGACCTGCGACACCTTGCCAGCAAAACAAAACGAGAAGCCCGTCCAGTGTCTGAGGGCGTGCGTGTGCGTGCGTGTATAGTTGTGTGTGTGTGTGTGTTCGTACGCGCACTGGCGGCTCGCGGTTGTGGCGAAATGCTCCGCTAACGTCACTAATAACCACCTTGTTCTGCGCTGGGCCGGGCTGGGCGCGAGACGCTTGGGCGCGCTGCTGGGCGCACTCCGGCCGAGTCCGTGTGCACGTGAGTGTGTGTGCGTGTGTGTGAGAGAAAGAGAACTGCCATCGAAGTGTCGCAGAACGAAGGCTGGTCCGCGGGATCCCCGCACCGCAGCGGACGACGCGAGCCTTGGGGTTGTCGTCGCGAGTATGGTTTCAGCGCCAGCGACAGTAGTAAAATTATGCTCTCTAAAACGGTCTCCTCGCGTTCCACCACGCGGAACGCAGCGTGAACGCATTCTGAACGCAGCATGGGTGTGGCAATCCCAACTCATCTCACCCTCCCTCCCCTCGGCATCAAAGCTTGGCGTATCCTTATCGGGTTGCCTGCAGCAGACTGATTCCGAGAGTCGTCGCCGTCGCTCTGCTGCCTCTCTCGCTCCTATACAGGACGCCCCACGAGTGCGGCAGAGGCAGAGCGACGACAACGACTCAGAGTCGCTCTGCTGAGTGCTCGATCGGCCGAACGCCGCGGAACGGAACGCTGACTAAACAAAGGAGTCGTCTAATCTCGGCACGGGGGGCGTGAGGGGAGGGGAGGGGGAATGCACTTGGCGGCCGCGGTCCCGGAGCACCCCGAGCACCCCCTGAGCCACCACGAGGTCCTCGCGTGAGCGCGGCGTGGGTACGCACGCGGCGCGCGGCACGCGGCGCGCAATTTTGCCGCAAGGCGATGACGCCCGCTGGGTTGGCAGCTCCGTTCCATGGTTCCATTGCCAGCACCGCGCAGCACTGGCGGCTTGCTGGCGGTGCGGTGCGGCGCTCTCGTAACTGCGGCACGCCGTGCCATGCCGCTGCCGCTGCGTATACATGCTATACGCACTTGCATCGCGCCTCGCGCTGCGCGTTGGTGGTTAAAACCCACTTAAAGCGGCTCAGTGTCGCATAGCTCTGCACCCAAGCACGCGGCGGTCGTTCGCCGGCCGGCCCACTGCACTGCTGCACTCCGCTTTGGGCGTTGTAGCTTTCGTTGCGGCCCTCCGCGTCGAAGGGCACCGCGCTCGCCGCCCTGTCTCTCTCCCACTCGCGCGGTCGTTCTGCACGGAGGAGAGAGAGAGATCGACGGAGCACTGTTCGTTTGTCGGTTTGAGTGCCCCGGACCCTTGACACGGCTTGCTTCTCGGCCGCCTTGGTTCGGAACGCAATTGGCCATCGACTGCAGCTGTGCAGAAGTCCGATTCCCCTGCCCGCACTCCTCGCTCTGTCTCTCTCGCTCTCATGACGAGTGCCGGAGGGGAGCGAGAGAGACAGAGCCACAAAAGCGCGCAGCGGAATCGGAATACAGTGTAAGTGGGGCTTCCCTCTGAGACCAGCGCGCGCCGCGCGGGTAGGCCACCCAACGCGCGTGAGTGTCTGCGTGTGGCCCGCCCTCTCGTAGCACGGCGCTCCAGGTGTTCGCTCCCCGCGCGTCCTTCCCTTCGCCCCGCTCCGCATGCCTCACGGATCAAAATGATTGTGATTTCAGCCCGCGCGTGTGTCGGAATCATTACCCGAGGCAACGGGGGTAAAGGGTCGTGATGGGATTCAAATGGCTAGCCTGTTTCCCGCTGCCAAGGATCCTGCAAACAGAGGCTTATTTGCAGGCGAGGCGCACCGTGCGTATAAGGTGGGGGGGGACCAGGGGCACAGCAGAAGACTCAAATTCTCAAACTCTTTCCGCTTTCGTATTTGGATTGCTCATGTGGTTGTCATTGTCAGTGAACATCTTCAACTTTCAACCTCATTCTCGTTATTGACGAAGACATTGGTTCAGTCGCTGACCTCGTTTCATAAGTTAAAGTAGGATAATGTCACTGACTAAACTTTTGAGGTTAAAAGCGCTTATTTCACAACCAAAACAGATCAAAATCTTGTTGGAAAATGCTAAAATTGGTGCTACAAACAGAAGGCTCTTAAGTGGCAGTCAAAATGAAATGAAAACCACTTTGGAAGTGCCCTTTTACATGACGTGCAGCAATAACATGAAGGCCGAAGAATGTCAATTGCTTTACAAAGACATGGTTGTGTTTGAAAACTTTTTATCAGAAACTGAGGAAAAAGTTATATTTGATGAAATTGAGCCATACATGTCACGACTCCACTATGAATATGATCATTGGGATAATGTAAGTTTTGTTCCTCCTGCCTACACATACAAGTGATGCGCTCTCAAAAATTTGTGACTTGATGGTTATTAAACGTCTTTCTGAATCATGTTGACAGGCTATTCATGGGTTCCGAGAAACAGAACGGCTTCATTGGACCCAACCAAGTATGCTGATTTTAGACAAGGTGCGCCAAGCAGCGTTTCCAGCGGGAAAACCACAACTGCGACATGTTCATGTTCTTGATCTCTCAGCTGATGGCTACATCAAGCCACACATTGATAGCGTCAAAGTAAGTTTCAAAACGTTCACTTTCTGTATATGACTTTAAGTGTCTCGTAAATTATGTTATGCAGCCTCGTACTAATTTTAAAACTTGTTTTTCTAGTTCTGTGGTGATACAATAGCAGGTTTGAGCCTTCTCTCAGATAGTGTGATGCGCCTAGTCCATGAGAAAGATAGTTCGAAGATTGTAGATGTAATACTCAAGCAAAGATCCTTGTATATCATGAGGTGTGTACTGCAGTCGATCACATTCTTTCTGACATTTTTCTAGTTTGGAATACCTGTAAGTTTGACTGTCATTTATGTGTTCTAGGGATTCCGCACGATACGACTACACCCATGAGATATTGAAACAAGCCGATTCCAAATTTAAAAGTGTGATTGTGCCTAAAGGTAGAAGAATTTCTGTAATTTGCAGAAGTGAAGTTACTAAAAAGCAATAAGACTGTCATAGTATTTACTATTGGTTATCAATAAATTTCAGTGATCAGAGATAATTATTTTAATAATTCTCAAAAAATGTTATTAGTGTAACATGATACAATAAACAAGTCTGTGATTTACATTACATTTTTAATTTTCCATTCCTTCTTCCAAAAACAAAATTTTCAAAATTATAATCACTAAATTTAAAGAGGACAATAAAAGGCTAAAAGCAATTCACTTACACATGTAGCCTACACTGCAAATCCAAACGTCGGACAGCCTCACACTCTACGGCGTGAACCAACATGGCGTCACACTGACATGTGTGAGACACGGTTTGTCTCACACTTGCAAGCGTGGGAACCGTGTCGTTGAAGCACAGGAAACCCTTGGCAGCAAGTGAGAGACAAACGGTGTCACATGCGTACTTGCAGGCAAGGGGCAAACATGGCTCACAGTTGGAAGCGGGAGACATATTGGTTCGCGCCAAATAATATGAGACTGTCTCAGTCACACACCTGGATGGGTTAGCAGTGTACCCTCAGGCGGAGTGCCGTGCCTGTTGCTCCCGACCTGACCTGGGTGCCATGCTCCACTCCTCAAGAGCAGCGCCTGCTTTTGGGGCCACTCCAGAGGCCGGGGCCTCTCCGAACCGACGCGAGTGCGGTAATAAATGGTTACAGTCCTCTCCTCTGCGCGCTCTGCGTACACGGTCGTCCATCCCGATGACGGCGATGGGTGGCTTCAGCCTTCCCAGCCGCCGAGTCTGGCGAAATTCCGCACGGCGAACGGGTCCACTTTTGCGCACCCCTTCCCTCGCCCCACCCCTTCTCAGCTTCCCCCCCCCCTCCCCAGGGGGCGGGGACGGCACGGCGCGGGGGTAGGCCCTGCCGCCCTGCCGGCGATGCGCTGCCGGCGTCCGGCCCGCCGCTCGCTGCCGCCGCCAGCCGCCAGGGCCACAGCAGCCACAGTCGTGTCCTGGCCTCCCCCGCGCTCGCAGCCCCGCGCCGCGACGCCCCCAGACCGCCGCAGGGCCGCCGCGTCGTCGCGCCACTCGACGCGGAACCAGCGACCGCGAAGCGCGAACCTCGAAGCATCCTCGAGCGTCGGGCCCGGAGCGGCGCGGAGCGGAGTGCGGACAAGTTGCCGGCTCCGGTGACCCGACCCGGCCGGCTCGACTCCGGTGTCCGGCCTGCCCGGCGCTCCATCCGCGGCTGTCCACGGCGGTCGAGTCACTCGCAGCCTCTGCCCCTGCCCCTGCCCGCGGCTGGCACACCGCTGCCGAGGTACGGTACGCTGGTTAGGAAATGGGCTTTGCGGCCCCGGTGAGCGCGGAAAGAAACTAAACGCATTTTGTGGGGGAAAAATATTCCTATCCAAACTTTGGCTGGGCTAACCCAGTTTCTCGTGACCCTCGAAAGTTGGAGAGAAATTCCCCGCCGGCTAAACGGGGCCAGCGGGCCAGCAGCCACGATAATTTTCGCGGTTTCACTGTTGCCGCTGGCCTGCGGACCCTTCAGCCAAGTCCGGGCAAGGCCGGGCAGGCAACCCCTCGCAACCCCTGCACTGCAAACCACCTGTAGACCACCCTGCCGCACTTGGCGGCAGAGTCCAAGTCTTCCAGCGGCACCGCGCGAGGACAATCAGTCACGTGCCGGTGAAGCACCGACGCACAGTGGTCCAGGAGATAGGTGGAGTCGGCCAAAACTCAAGACGCGTTTTGAGCTCCACAGTCGCTACCTAGGACTCGAACCGAGCGTGTGACCCCACCAATGGATTCCTCGTTCGGGGAGCAATCCATTGGTGGGGTCACACGTTCGGCTCGAGTCCCACTTAGCGACTGTGGAGCTCAAAACGCGTCCGGGATTTGGACCACCTCCGCCGGTCTTCTGGCCCACTGTGCGGGCGGCCCTGCTGGACCGTAAGCAGGGTTGCCCGCGCACGGCGCTCCTTAGCTCGCCGAGCTCGCCGTCCGGCCCAGTCCAGCCCCCGCGGCGCTGCGGCACTGCGGCGCCGCGGCCTCGACGCGGAGCTCACCGCTCTGCCTTTCAAAGCCCGCGTGCGCCAAACTTGAAGGTGAAAATGGAATGCATAAAAGGATTAACTTTGGCGACGCGCAGCTCGCAGCCCTGGCCAAGGCCCTGGCCGACACCAGCTGGCAACAAGGTGGCCGCCAAGGAGGCCGCGGAGTGCCCTTCTTGCCTTCCCTCGTGGAGCCCCTCTTTGTGGCCGCGGCCTGCCCCGGGGGCTGCCCCGAGGCTGCCCTGGCCGGCCGTGCCACCGCCCCACCCCGCGGGATCCGGCCGTGGAAGTTGGCTCTTATATAATTATGAGACAAAAGAGTCATTTACATTTCAGAGATTGGAGTGGGGGGACTTTGCGGCCTGAGCGTGCCCTGAGCGTAGCCTTAGCGTGCCCTGAGCGTGGTCTTAGCGTGGCCTAGCGTGGCCTAGCGTGGCTGCCGCGCCTCCTCGAGGACGCCGTGGAGGCCCTTGAGGCCAAGCAAACCGTGACGAGAGTGCGGCTAGAGCCCAGGCGGAGCCGCCATGTGCCGTGCACGGCGTCGTGCTGGTGCGGTGCGCCCCACACGGCCGCCGGGGAAATGTGTGTCACTCACAGGGGCGGCTCTCGGCTCTCGCTGACAGCGGGGCGCCCTCTCCCCGCTCCACGGCGGGAACCGGGAAAACAAAATTGTAACGGTGACGGCGTGGACCTGGGTGGCGCCACACCGGGCAGGCGGACAGGCGGGCGGCCGGACAGGCGGGCACGGGTCCGGCAAACTTGCACCCCGGCGCCGTCCACCGTCCGCCGTCCATCGCGTTTATGGCCCACTCGAACTAACTAGGGCGCGGACTGTACCGTCGCCAGCCACTCGGCGCGCACCGCTCGCAATCGCACGGCAGACTCACCGCCCTGGCCGCCCTGGCCATCAATAGAGCAAACTGGGCAACTTTACGACCGAGTCAAAGCAGCTCGGCGGCAACTTCGGCGCGCCGAGCTACAATCGGCAATGGGCCGGATTGGTTGGTGTGTCGCACAACTCGGCACAACTCCGTAATCGAGAACGCATCCGAGAGGCGCATCGCCGCATCGCACTCGCTTGCCGGATTAACCTGCCCGGGGCTCTGGGAAGCGGAGGGCGGGGAAGGGGGTGGGACAAGTTTCCGAATCTGGCCCGACTTTTCCAGGGGGCTGCCTTGTTTCGGCGCGCAGGACTCGGCCAAGTTTTAATCTCTGTGGTCTTCCCTTGGCGAGCCCTAGTGTCCTCACGCTGCTCGCCATCCTCGCCATCCTCACGGCCACGGGGGGCGCCAAGCTGCCAAGCCGCCAAGCCGCCAAGCCCCAAGTCCAGAGACCAGCCAGGCGGGGCTTGCGCCGGCCTCCACGCGCACCTGAGGTGCGTCGCCTCCCACCCCTTGCCCCCGCCATCCCCAAAACGCAAACTCGGCGCAAACAAATTTTTAAGTCAGCAGTCGCCGGGGAATAAGCAGCAGTCTGGTCGAATTATGCTGGCCGCTTCTGTCTGATGTTAAAAAGGCGCCACGTATTTATATAGCAAGATCCCCGGGGCGGACGGCGAGGCTGCCCTGGCGCGGCCGCGGCGGTCTCGGCCTCGTCGATGTCGCGACGTCGCCGCCGCGCCGCCACGGCCGCGCCAAAGGCAGCGGCGCTTCGGAAAAAGAATGGAGAGAGAGCTTCGTCAGTTTGTCCTTTGGCCCCCACCCCGCCCCGCCCCGCCCCGCCCCGCCACTTGGGGAACACCTTAGAGCGCCTCATCACCCCTCACGGCTTTTTTCTCCCCCGTGTTTTGGAACGCCTTATTCCACGGCCGCTATTCCTCTTCGTTTGATGTCGCCCCACCCCGCCCCGCCCCGCCCCGCCCCGCCCCGCCCCGCCCCGCCCCGCCCCGCCACGCCCCTGCCATCCCGCCCCTTCGGCAATTATCAGCGTCCTTTGCGTGAACGCCCTCGGCGCAAACGCCAGCCGAAAGGCCAATCTCGGCGCGCTCTGCCAGGTACACTGGGTCACTACAGCCGCGGGCCGCGGGGCTGCTGGGAACGCCCACGACCGGCTTCGGGGAAGGGGGAGGGGAGGGGGAGGCAGTTCAGTATCGAAAACAAAGCGCGCGGCGCGCGTGTGCGCCCCGCCCCATCGAGAAGGCCCTGTGTTTTCTAACTGAGCCCGCTCACGCCATGCGGCCAGAGAGCCGATGACATTCTGATCCAATTACTGAGCTCTGTTTACTGTGTCCCCTGTCCGGCCTGTCCGGCTGGGGCGGGACCGCCACCAGGACCGCCAGGACGGGCGCCATGGTCGCGGCCCCAGGCACGTCGCCGTCGCCGCGCCGCGTCCAGTAGACCGATTCCGAGAGTCGTTTTCGTCGCTGTCTCTTTCCTGCACCGATACGGGACGCTCAATGAGTGCGAGAGAGACGACTCTCGGAATCGGTCTGGTCTGCAGACGGCTTGGCGGACGTGCCCCGAATCTCCCTGGACTGGCGTGGCAGTGGCGTGGCAGTGGCGTGGCAGTGGCGTGGCAGTGGCGTCTCCGTCTGGGGCAGCCAAGCAGCCAACCCGAAATACACACATGCAGCCAATCAAGGCCAACTACGCCCCGGGGCCGCCCCAGCCCAGCCCAGCCCGAGCCCCAGGGCCCCGGCACGGCAGGGGGTGGCGGACGGAGGCAGCAGCCAGACCACGAGCAGACTGTAGCGGGTCACCTTGCGTCACTCGCAGGGGCAGGGCTCGGCGCCGCCCTCGGCCGCGTCGCCTCGGGGCGCCCTGCCCTGCCTCCACGTGCGTCCTTCCGACGGCCCGAGAAGGCCGAGAAGGCCATGCAGCTGCAGGCCAGCGGTCGCCGGACCAGACCACGCTCCGGCAGCGCCGCGTCCCTCCCACACTCGTGGAGCGCCCCGTGTGGAGCGAGAGGGACAGGCGGCCGCTCCGAGTCAGCCTGCGGGGGCCGTGGCGCAATTTCATTACGCGGCGCCTACACTCTAAATGTAGGGTGCCCAGTAACTGGGCGCCTTTGTCGCCCGCCCCACTTTTTAGGGTGCCAAATGTCGCCCAGTTTCTGGGCACCTTTGTCGCCCAGTCTCGGGGTGGACAAATCATACAGTAACCGGCCCTCTCCCAGGGT